CTCCCGTCTTAGAAGCATAATGAACCCCCATTTTACAGATGGGAACATTGAGGCTCAGAAAGGTCAAGTTACTTGCCCAAGTCACACAGTGAGTTAGGGACTAAGCAAGTTCAAACCCTGACCCCAGACTTGAGGCTTTTCATCACTGTGACCCCACAGCGGGCACATTTCACTATTCACCACAAGAGCCTGCCAGGCCTCAGTGTGTCCCTCTGTGAAATGGGGTGGTAGGTGGGCTACCAGGTTGGGCAGCCAGTGATTTCCCACCCTCATTTTTCATCTGTCACTCCCACGGCGTCCGCTTTCTTCCTCCTTCTGCATTTGTCTACGCAGCCTGGCGTTAGGTAACTAAGGGCCCTGAGTTCAGGGTTTGTGGAGCAGCTGACCTTCCCACCCCAGCAACTAATCTCTGTTTTCCAGTCTCTACCGACTTATCTCAAAACATAGCTGCCCTGCCCTGGTCACTTCCACTGCTCCTGGGGTGGCCACGGAGGGCACTGTATCTCTGGGTTCACACAGCTTCCTTGCAGGAGTGACCGAGACCCTCCCGGGGGCTAAGGAAGCCTGGGGACAATACCAGGAAGCTAGGCCCTCACCTCAAGGCCTGGCTTGGGTCAGCAACCGGCCCCGGGCCTGGCCTGGTGACCCTGCTCCCGTGCTGGAACATTCTGGCTTGTGATCAGCCTGTCCTACCTCTTCAGGGCAACTGAGGCTCAGAGAGAACAGGGAGCTAGCCGAGGTCACTCGGTGAATGGAGTGTGTGGCCTGACCCCACACATGCCCCGATGCTGTGTATTTCACCCAGACTGTGCGAGACCTGACGGCTCTGTCATGGGGTACAGATCACAGTACACGAACACCAACCTTGTCACGGGAAGAAAGCTCTGCCTCCCTCCGAGGGGGGCCAGGGCTTGGAGGGAGAGTGGGGTGGGAGTGAGGTCAGCCTGAAGGAGTGAAAAGAACCCTTATGAGGCTAAGAGAAGGCTTTCCTCTGGAAGGTTCCCCTTATCCACCCTACCTGGCCCCCCGCCACCAGGGTCTGGCATAGTGGCCAGGACCCCTCTGGTCTCCAGGTCATTCAGGCCCAGAGGGGTCCCTGCGGTATCTCTGGTCCCACAAAGAGTACCGTGTGGAATCACAGCCCAGGAATTTTCAAAGCCAGCTTACGTAGCAGCGGAGGGGCCAGGGGTCAGCCCGTCCACATCGCACCCTCCAGGGCCCCTCACAAGAAAGGGGGGTGTGTGTGCATGTGCGTGTGTGTGCGCACGCGCACCCGCATGCGCACGGTTGCCCCGGGTCAGAGAGAAAGGGAAATCTGTTTCCGTCCTATCCCCAGGGTTGTATGTTGGCAGTGACAGCGTCTACGGGGCCTGGCCCAGGTGGTCACCACGGGGACCAGGTCATTGATCGTCCCGACAGGGACGTTTCTGAGAACGAAGGGGGTGCCGTTCAGTGACGCCAGGACCACAGGCATGAACTGGGGCATGTGGTCACCCCAACTTCACCCCTCTCGGCCTCAGTTCCTGTATCTGTGAAGTGATTCAATTGGTTCCACTCCAATCCTCAAAATCTGTTATTGGGCCTGAGAACTCTGACTTTTAATGGTCCCTTTTGATGACACTGAGGATGGCTCCCATTTACTGCATAATTGCTGTGTGCCGGTCACTGTTTCCAGTGCTTTCTATGAACTCCCTCACAGAATCCTCTAACAGCCTTAGGAGGTGGTGGGGACACTAATAAACAATAACTACTATTTATTAAGCACTTACTATGTGCCAGGTACCTTGTGAGGGGCTTCACGCTTCCCCCCCTTCTTCAAGCCTCACAATGACCTTATGAGGAGGTACTGGAATTGGTCCCATTTTACAGATGAGGAAACTGAGGCATAGAGAAGCTAAATAGCTTGTCCAAGGTCACAGAGCTTGGACCTGGAATTGGACCTTCTCAGGCATGTGGTCTAAGCCTATTTTTTTCTTTGATGAGAAAATTGCAGATCAGAGAGGCCTTGTGACTTAGCCCAGGTCACACTGTGCTCAGGGCCTGAGCAGGGGAACCAGACCCAGGCTGGCTCTTGGGCCCCGGTGCTGCCCGACTCCTCCCCCAGATGCCAACTCTGGACGACAAGGAGTGTTTAAAAGCTTACATCTGGCTCCTGGCACCCAGACAGGGCCCCAGAGGCCTGTGTCATGCCTATTAGTTCATGGTTATATTTGGGCCCGGGTGTAGGTGGGGCTGGCAGCAGGGAAGGAGGAGGCTGGGTGCTGGGAGACAGCCCCTTGGTGAGCAGCCCCCATATTGTCAGCAGCAGGTGGGCAGAGCTGTAGGGAGGGAGACAGAAGAACAAAAATAAACTCTCCTGGGCAGCTGCCCAAGCAGGCAAAGAAGGTTCTGTTTCTTCTCTCTGTCACCCAAGTCCAGAAAGGGTGACCAGCCCCCTCGCCCTCCCTATGACTCAGACCTGCCTGCCTGGGCCGGGCCCTCCCCTCCAGCTGAAAAAGCACCATTCAGGGCAGGCTGTCTACCTCACCGAGCCCGGAGACCCCCACTAGGGAGCATCCTCTGCAAAGGACAGCCTCGAGGCCTGGGCTCAGGTGCTGACTCTGCCACAGACCCCCGGGATCTCCTTGGGAGACCCCTCCTCTCTGAGCCTTCATTCTCTCTCCTGTACAAGGGATCTCGGGAGAAACAGGACGTGATAAGCCACTTCACTGAGAGTAAATGGCTGTCGGGAGATGAGGGATGGTTATGACCAGCTCTTCGGAGCTGCCTATGGACACACAGAGGCCAAAATTTGGAGGGTGCCCTGGAGAGACAAACACCTAGTCCTGTATCGGCCAGCACCCTCTGCTAGCGGACAGCAAGGGGGCTCTCAGACAGGCCCCCATGGGGACATCAGAGGACCAAGGTCCCATCCTACTCAGAGTCTAGGGTTCTTTTTCTGAACAGGAAAGCAGGATGCTAGCAGGCAAAAGATTTAGGCAGGAAAGGAAGACCCTTGGGGAGCATCTTGCCTAATTCCTGTCCATGCTATGGAGGGGCAAACTGAGTCCAGAGAAAGGGATGCTCTTGTCCAAAGTCACGCCAGCCCAGAGCAGTGTAACTGAGACCCTGCCCCAGGCTACACTGTCCCCTCCCCAGGGAGGAATCTCCCAGGAGGGTGAGGACCTGCCGTGTGCCTGCAGCTTTTCGTGCATTCCCACAAAACCACCCTGCAGGGTTGGGTCTGATCCCCCCTTGACAGACGAGGAAACCAAGGCTCAGGGAGATGAAACCTCTTGCCAAAGTTCCCTCAGTGGTTAGTGGCAGAACTAGGCCTCAAACTCAGGCCCATGGGACCCCAGGAATGTGCTCCGCCCCTGCCAGCACTGGCTCCCACCCTCCCTCACCACCCCCTGCTCATGGCCCTGCTTTCTCCCTCCACAGGCCCAGACCCCAGCAACCAGGCCGGGACCAAGGCCCGCTTCCCACTGTCCAATGCTGTGGAGGAGGGTGCCTGGACGGCCTCAGTGGTGGAGAAGCAGGACAGCGCCCTCTCGCTGCAGCTCAGCACCCCGGCGAATGCCCCCGTCGGCCTGTACCGCCTCAGCCTGGAGGCCTCCACTGGCTACCAGGGCTCCAGCTTCATGCTGGGCCACTTCACCCTGCTCTTCAATAGCTGGTGCCCAGGTGAGCCACGCTCCATCCATGGGTGGAGTGGGGAGATGGGCAGGGCTAGACCCACCCATGGGGCGGCCACTGAGGGTGGGGAATGGGGCAGAAGAGACATCAAAGTGGATTGAGTGAGGCCCACTCTGCAGCTCCATGCTGCAGCCTCCCAGAAACCTTGTGACGTGAGTATTCTTATTATTCCCGTTTACAGATGAGGAGACAGGCTCACAGAAGCAAAATGATTTGCCCAAGGCCACACAGCTACCAAGGGATCCCACCCCATGTGGGCTTCCCTGGCTTGGGAGAGGGAAACTGAGGGAGGTGGAGGGGTGGGGGTAGCCAGGACAGGCGGGCAGGTGCAGTGTGGTTACTTAAGTGCCTCCTTGTGCGCTCTCTCAATCACTCCTCTTGACAATCCCAAGGGGGAGATCTCAGCATCCTTATTTCACAGACAGGAAACTGAGGCTCAGAGAGCTTAAGTGGCTTTTGGCAGCTCCTTCAGCAAGTAAGTGGACAATGCTGGACGAAACCAGAGAGTCAGAGAAAGAGCTGAGGCTGTCTGGAGCAGGAAGGAAGAGACAGGGCCTGCCACGCCCCTAGCCGGGCCTCAGTTTCCCCTTCTGACTAACGAGGCAGTTGGATCCGACCATCTGTTTCCTTCCTGCTCTCACATAGCAAGGCAGAGAGAGAGGCCTTGTGGGGGGGCCTCAGCCTGGGAATGGGGTGTTCCTTCTCAAAGCCCAGGCCCAGGGCAGAAATTCTGGCCTTTCCAGCCTCAGATAACCAGCTTCTTACTGGGCCATTGCTTTATTTTTTCTTCTCCATTTTGGGGCACTTTATAACACATTTGGGCAGAAAGATTTTTTATTTTCTCCTTTACATACTGTGGTTTTTAGTTCTAATTACAGCAGTAAGACATGAGAACATCCTCTTTATAAAAGCTTCAGGCACTACAGAGAGACAGCCCCCTGGACTCCCCTCCTTGGGGAACACCATTGTTAGCTGTCTTGGGGGCTCATCTCCTTAGATTCGGGTGTATGTGCCTGGAGACATCGCTGTATTAATGGAGTTCTCTGTCTCGCAAGCGTAAAAGGATCCCCCGGTATACATCAGCCTACAACTTGGTTTTCTTTTTCCCTCTACGATACGTCTTGAGGATCTTTCCACCTCGGTCTGCATACATCTGCTCGTGCTTTGTAAGAGCCGGGAGTGCCCGGATCTTGCCCATGTGAATGGTTCATTTATCTGGCCCCCCACACCCAGACATGAGGTCGTCCCCGGTGGCTCATCACAGGGCGGGCGTCGCAATGAGCGCCCTTGCGCACATGCCCTGTGGCCACGTGGAACGGTTTCTGGGGACAGAAGTGGCCCTGCTGGACCCACACTGTGCTCATTTTGATTTTCATCGACCTGCAGAGCTAACAGCTAGTGGGCAGCGCGGCCCGTGGAGCGGTACCGTGCCAGAGTCCCCGCCCCACCGGCACCGCAGGGGTTCAGAGTCCAGGCAACGGGGACCGAGGCTCTGGAGAAAGTGTCCCTTCCTCCAGCCCTGCCCCTGCCCTGCCCAGAGGGTTGAGGCAGAGGTCAGCCAAGCAGCACAGTGACCACAGTGACCCACATCCCAGGGCGGGAGCCGTGAGCAGGCAGGAAGCCGGGCTCAGAGCGGTGGGGGCGCTGGCGAGAAGCTGCTCTCCCTCTGGGGCAGAGGGCGGGCTCTGCCTGGGAAGCGGGCCCTTCCTGCCGCCGAGCTCCCACACTGACAGGGTAGAGCCCCCACTTCACCAGAAGGAGACACGTCACAGTCCTGGCTTCTCGGGCCGGTGTGGGGACAGTTCCTCCACCTGCGCTGACACTCTCATTCTGATGGCGAAACACCGAGGGTTTGTCTTTCTCTTTCTGACCTTTGACCTCCGGCCATCTGGCCCCAACTGCCTCAGCCCCCTTTTCCATGGTCGCTAGCTGCAGGGACCTGAGTGCCTGCAGGTTCCTGCAGCGGCGCCTTTGCTCTCTCTGCTCCTCTGCTTAGAATGTCATCAAGGCAATGTTCAGATGCCACCTGCTCCAGGCGGCCCTCCCTCCCTGCCCCCGAGGCTGGACGGGACCCCACCTCCCCTGAGCCGTGGTGACCCTCCCCCGGCTTTCTCTCCACCCTGGATCGTGCTCCTGCCTCCCGCTGGCCCAGGGCTTCAGCTTGTGCCCCACCTTTCAGATCCACGATCCCATTTTACTCCCAGGGAACACAGTGAGGTGGGGGAGAGGAGGGGACCTGCCCAGGGTCACAGAGCGAGGGAGGGTCAGAGCTGGGGGTGCTGACTCCTGATCCGGTGCTCCTTGGTCTCTTGTGTTGGATCAGTTTCCCCATCTGTAAAATGGGGCTTTCAAGGATCCCCTCCTCACAGGGCTCTTGTGGAGGTTAAACAAGGTAATGTATGTCACACGCTTATCGGGGGTCCTGGCATGGGATGAGTGTTGGATAAATGACAGCCATTGTTGTGACTAGCTGATAACACCTTATCTCATTGATATGTGGTTATTAGGTGATTAGTTTTTCTTACTAAAAGATAGAGGGCCTGGGAGACTCCGGCTGGCCCTGGGAGTTGGCACCCTATCTGCCATATCTACAAGGATGTGGGGCCCCACCAGGCCCAGAGCTGAGGCCCTTTCCTTCCCACCCACAGCGGACGCCGTGTACCTGAACTCGGAGGAGGAGCGGCAGGAGTACGTCCTCACCCAGCAGGGCTTCATCTACCAGGGCTCAGCCAAATTCATTAGCAGCATACCCTGGAACTTTGGGCAGGTAGGGCCACACCCTGCCCCTCCCCACCATCTCAGGTCACCGTGTGCCGGGCCCTGGGTCCGAGGCATCAGAGCTGCAGAGGTGTGAGCAGGTCTCAGAGTCACCCACCCCTGGTTGTCGTGGATTCAAGGGCCCTGAAATGGCTGGAGGCTCAGAGAGGGCCCGGGCCAGACCTGAGGTCACACAGCAAAGGGCTGCCCTACCCAGCGTGGGAACAGCAGACCCAGACTGGGACTTGTGGGGCTGGCAGGTGCTCTGGGCGGGAGAAGGGGAACATTCCAGGCCATATATCAGGAGAATAGGCAGCATGTGGAGGATGCTTACTGTGTGCTAGGCATGTGCCAAGAGTGGTTTTAAACCATCATCTAGATCAGTGGTTCTCAAACTTGAAGATACATCAGAATCACCAGAAAAGTGTGTTAAAACCCAGATCACTGGGTCCCACCTAGCTGCTGATTCAGTAGGTCTGAGTGTGGGCTGAGAATTTGCATTCTTAACAAATTCCCAGTTGATACTGGTGCTGCTGGTCCCCTGTCCATGCTTAGAACTACTGGTCTGGTTGTATCAGCTAGCTCCTGCGAGTAACAAAGAAGCCCCAAATTTAGAGGCTTAAAACAACAGCCATCTCTTTTTCTCAGAAATCTATGGGTCAGCCAGGGCATGGCTGATCTCAGCCGGATGGCCCCTCTCTGTCCCCTGTGGTTCTTCATCCTCCAGCAGGCCAGCCTGGGCTGGTTCTCCACTCCAAGGCTCTGATTTCCTCTGCCATCCAGCCTCCCACACGCATTCTTGAGATGTCGCTGAGAAAACTCATGAAGCAAGAACCATCACCCCCCTGGCCCCTCAACCTCCTGGTGTGTTAGGGGGTGTTGGCCTCCTGGGGTGGGGTTCACCTTGAGACTTCTCCCAGCAGCCCCTGCCTCAGGATCCGTGTTCAGGCCTAGGGAGCCCTGCCCTGGGACCACAGGAAAGTTCTCCCTGTGTGATCTGGGGCTCTGACCTCAGTTTCCTCATCTGAATATTGGGGATAATAATTCCAAAAATACCTGCCCAGAAACCCTGCAGCCTGCTATAGGATGTAGATGAAATGGTGGAGTGACTGTGACACACAAAATACATCAGAAAATGAACTGGTCTGTTTCCCGGGGCTCTGTACTGTCCCCTGAGAAACAGAACAAAGCCCAGCCCTCCCTTGCGTTCCCTGAGTTCCTGATCTGTGTCCAGGCTGCGCTGGGCCGTGGGACATGGCCCTCGCAAAGCTTCAGGAAGCCATCACGATCCAGGATGATAAGACCTAGAGGAAGGAAGAGGGTGACTGCCCAGGGGGATCAGGGCAAGTCCTGAAACAGGCAGCGTTTGAGCTGGGCTTTGAAGGAGGTGGGTGCACCAGGCAAAGGGAACTGTGTGAACGACAGCTCGGAGATGGGAAAGTTCACGTTGTGCCTGAGAAGGATTCTGTAGCTGGGGGAGCACTTTATGTGGGAAGGAGTCCCAAGAGATGAAGTGAGAGGAGTCAGCAGTGTCCAGGTTGTGAACAACCCTGAATGACAGGCAAAAGGGTTCAAGCCATGGAGGGCTGTTCTGTAGAATGGAGGGAGCCCTGGGTCGAGGCCAGACAAGACCACAGAGATGGGGAGCAGGGGGCAGACGGGAGAGCCTTTGGACATGACAGATGGGTGGTCCAATGGAAGATGACAAGGAGGGATCCTACTTTTGATAAAGATAACAGTTGAGTTGCAAGAATGAGAAGGTGTGAGCCATACAGAGAGTGGCAGGAAGAGCATTCCAAGCAGAGGAAATAGCAAGTGCAAAAGTCCTGAGGCAGTGAGCCTGGAGCAGAGTGAGTGCAGGTGAGAGTGGTGAGAGATGAGGCCAAAGAGGGGTAGGGCACAGTTCATGAAGGGCCTTGCAGGCCACAGGGAAAAGTCTAGATGTTACTCTGGGTGCAGTGGAAACAGGAGTGGTGAGGTTCGATTTACATCTTTATAATCTACCTCAGTTCCAATCAGGGCAGTAGGGAGGGCGGGCTGGGGGAGGGATGCTCATCAGCTCTGGGGGGTGAGTCAGGCTTTAGGGGAAGTGGGGGATTTGCCTGGGTGGAGAGGGGAAAGGGGCAGTGGCAGGGCCCGAGATGACTCTGAAGGGAGGGAGGCCCCAGGGATGCTGGGCTCCCCACTCTGTGGTCTCTACTCCAAATTGCCAGGACCCCCAGCCAGGCCCTGGGTGTAGGCACACCCCCTTCCCCTGTCTCACAAACTCTGTTGTTGTCCCTCCCCACCCCCTCCTGGGCCAGGAGAAGCTGGCAGCACAGAGACGCAGCAGATCCAGCCCAGGCCTCCTGGTCTGGCGTGCGAGACAGAGCAGAGAAGTCCTGCAGCTGCTGGGCTTCAAGGCGGGCTTCCTGGAGGAGGTGACTTCTCATTGCCCTCATCCTCCTCTTGTTTCCTCTGACACAGTTTGAAGACGGGATCCTGGACATCTGCCTGACGCTCCTGGACCTCAACCCCAAGTTCCTGAAGAACGCCAGCCGCGACTGCTCGCGCCGCAGCAGCCCAGTCTACGTGGGCCGGGTGGTGAGCGCCATGGTGAGTGAGGAGCAGGGCCCACCCCAGGGTCAGGGCCATGTCGGGCCCCAGTTGGCTCCTTTCTTCCTGTGATGATGGAGACCAGGCCCGTGCTGGGCACAGTGAGGGGATCCATAAGATGGGTAAGTCTCAGCTAAGAGAGCTTGTATTTGGAAAGACAAGATTTACACAAACGAGGGTAGTGCCATGTGGTCCCTCAAAGCAATTCACTTGTTCATTCAGTCGCTCATTCAGCAAACATTTATCGAGTGTCACCTCCATCCTAGGCACTGGGGTCACAGCCAGGGATAAGACACGCATGGTCTCTAACTTATAGAGCTGATATTCTAACGGGTGGGTGGAAAGAGACAGACGTTGACTGACCAAAATGCCACGTGTCTGCGTGCAGGGTCATAAATCATGACGCATGCGCTGAAGGAACCTGGATGAGTGACAGTGTGGACCGCAGGGCCTAACCTCAGCGAGGAGCTGGGGGGAGCCTCCCTAAGTGATGATCCCTGAGCTGACATAGTAACTAGGAGAGGAGCATTCCAGGCAGAGGGTACAGCTTGTGCAAAGGCCCTGAGGGGGGACCGACTTAGGCAGGATTGAGGAACAGAAGGGAGGCCAGCGAGGCTGGAGCGGAGTAGGGAAGGGGGAGCAGCGGGGCTGCAGAGCGGGGTAGGGGCCAGACCGCGCGGGCCGCTTGGGCCACCGCCAGGAGGCTGGATTTTATTGTCCAGGTAATGGGAGTTTGAGGGGAACGACTGTCTGAGCTGGTCTTTGTAAAACTGAGATCATACTGTGTCACACCCCTGCCACCTGCGGACAAATGCACATCACCAGTGCGGCCTTCACGACCTTGACCCCACTCCAGCTCCTCCCTCCCCTTCCCTGTGCTGCGCCCCGGGCTCCAGCCCCAGCGGTCTCCAACACACCTGTCTGTCACACCTCGGTACCTGTGCACCTGCTGTTCCCTCATCCCGAACTCCCTTCCCTGCCTCTCCCCACGTGCAGAACTCGCACTCACCCTGGCGCAGCTGCCACCCTCTCCCCGGGCTTGACGCCCTGATGCCCCACTGGTTGCAGGTCAACTGCAATGACGACCAGGGCGTGCTGCTGGGGCGCTGGGACAACAACTACGGGGACGGCGTCAGCCCCATGTTCTGGATCGGCAGCGTGGACATCCTGCGGCGCTGGAAGAGCTGCGGCTGCCAGCGTGTCAAGTACGGCCAGTGCTGGGTCTTCGCCGCGGTGGCCTGCACAGGTGAGCTGCACGCGGGGCAGTGGGGGGGGCTGGAACCGGCCCCCGCCTCCGTGAGCCCGGGGAGGGTGCAGGGAGAGCGCTGAGTGGGAATCAGGAGACCCCGGTTCTGGTCCTGCCTCTTACGCCACCAGTGTACTGTGTGGCCTCGAGTCAGTGGCCGCCCCTCTCTGGTCCTTTTTCCAACTACCCCTCAGGTGGTTATGAGGATTAAGGAATGTCATTTGGAGGTGGCATGGGCTCAGGGTGGAGAGTGTGGGCTTTGGAGCCAGGCACAAGTGAGGTAAAAATCCCCAGTTACACTCATTTGCTCTGTGACCTTGAGAAATGACTTATTCCGAACCTCAGTTTCCTCATCTGTGAGAGGGACACAACAGGACCTACCTCCCAGGGTGGGCTGTCCTAAAATTGCTCAGCACAGAACTTGGCCCAGTGTAGCTCTCAGTACATACTAGCTATTAATAACCTGATAATAACAGTAATATCAACGTCAAGAAGGAGAAAGCACTTTCTAAAACGCAGAGAGGGAAAGGTATAACAATTTTGAACCAAAAAAGTAAAATAAATCTTTAAAAAATTTTGAAAATTTGAGCCCAGAAAACGTTGAAGATTGTTCCTGGGTTGATGATGGTGCTTATGAGAATGGGTTAGCATCATATACCAGTTAAAAACATAGAATCTGGAGTCAAGGCCTGAATTCAAATCCCAGCTCTGCTTCTTACCAGCTGTGTGTCCTAGGGGAAATCACTTAACTCCTCTGAGCCTCAGTTCCATTAGATGTAAAATGGGATAATAAAAGTATTTTTATCCTGGGATGGTTGTGAGGATTAAATGAGTTAACGTGCGTGAAGTGCTTAAAATGACCTCAGATGCATAACAGCAAATGCTTATACAGTGCTGCTGCTTATGGTTGTCACTATTATTACCATTTCTATTATTATTACTGGGCTCAGGAAATCTAAGAGGCTGATCCCGGGTTCCCAGCTTCTCTGACTCTGAGGCCAGTGCTCAGGCCCAGAGAAGGGTCCCCGGGATCCCCAGCACTGTCCACACTAGCAGGCTGGGCGGGGACGGCCTGGCCTGGGGTCCTAGCTAGGCTGTCTCTGCCCTCCCTCCCCACTGCCTCTCCGCCCACAACTGCCTGCTCTCTGTGACCTCTGAATTCCCCTTTCTTGTGGAAACTCCCCGATCCCAACCCTTCCCTTGAGGGCCTAAAACATGCCTTCTCTGAGAACCCCACCTTGGCCTGGTCCCCAAGCTCACCTACAAATGCCTTCCTCACCCGGGCTGTGACTGCCTGACTGTCTAGCTGCAGGTCCTGCCCTCGCCTGTCCTGTCCCCAAGGCCAGGGCTGAGCCGGGGTCCCTGCGGCCTCCTTCTGGGACTGGGTACCGGAGCCAGGGAGAACGTGGCCAGACGAGGCGCCGTCTGACCCCCTCGGCCCGGGGGTTGCTGCAGGGAACCAAATGGTGGATCGGCCATGGGCTCTGGAGTTGCGCTGCCTGGTGTGAATGCTGGCTCTGCCTCTAACCCCTGGGTGGACGTGGGTGAGAGAACTGATGTCTCTAAGCCTCAGTTTCCCCACCTGTAAATTGGAGACAGTGGCGACTGACCTAATTCATAGGGAGCCCTTAGGACCCAGGGAGATGTCACTCAGCACAGTCTCTGGTTCAGGTTGGTTTGTGTTTGGGGGTTTCCGAGGGAAGCTGGGATTTCTCAGCTGGACCCTGGAGCATTTCTCAATGTCCAGGAGCCAGCCGACACTGACTGGATAGACACTTGCAGTGACGGGCACCATGACAGACTTTGCTGTTCCACCCTGGGCACTGGGCAGACAGGACTTCCCACCCCGTCACCTCTCTGAATCACCACAACATCCCGACAAGCGCTATTCTTAGCCCCTTTTAGAGAAGGAAACGCAGGCTGAGAGAGGGGAAGTGGCTTGCCCAAGGTCACACAGCGGGTGAGCAGCAGGGCTGGGCTTGGAGCCACGTGTGCCAGTTCTGGGGCAGCACGTGGACCTTAGACTGTGATGATGAGGCCTCCCGGACGCCGTCCCTGAGACACGAGTGGTGCCTTGCTCCTTGGGCCTTTGGCAGAGGGGCAGGCCTCCCCAAGCCTCCCCACGTGGCAGGCAAGACCCGGGGATGGACACCAGCCCTGGCTAAAGGCAGCAGTGAGTCTGGCCCCTGCCTGGGCCTCAGGGCACGGGAACCAGGCAGGAGGTGGAGGGTCACAGCCGCTCCTTCCCCGCTCGTCCTGGTGCCCGCTGGTCTCCTGACCGGAATCCAGGGCCATCCGGGAAGCTCTTGCCCTGTCGATGGTGGGCACAGGGCAAAGGTCACATCCTGCCCCTCCCCTGTCTCAGAGACTCAGCCTCAATCAAAACTAAAAGTAAAACCAAAGTCCCACAGGTTCCATTTAGTGGGGCTTCTTGTTTCACTT